AGCGACGGACCCAAGGTTCTTACGGCGAAAAATGTTTCGCGCTGCGAAACGCGAAAAATCGCTTTCTGTCCTAGTGAGCCACACCCATAGAGCAAGAAGGTCGTACTTCCCGTGTTTTACCGATTTTCTTTCCATTTTTCTCTCTCACTCTCAGTCCACCTTCCATCACAACTTTCATATTTGAGTGGGATTACAGCGACACTTTGATCATGATTCTTGCCTTCAAGACAGCGAGATGAAAGGAACCTCTTTCAGCAGAGCTCAGAGGATCGGTTAGCAGTCTGGTTCGAAATCGAGGGTAGAAAAAATCGAGGTGTAGTGGAAAAGCGCTTTTCACCCTGTTCAAAAAAGTGTCGAAGTACCACAATAGACAGCATTCTAAGTACGCTTTTCAGGAAACCCTGTTTGAGAGCGTGCAAATCTGTTGTAGTTGTTAAGATTAGCGGCGGCACATGCGGCAGACAATGGCTATCACACCCTCGTCACCTTGAATCACTACAAAGTGAGATGCAAATACTCTAATCTGACCCTTGGTAGTGCTGCACAACGTTAAACGGTTCCACCGAGTAAAGAAATGTTCTTGTCATCGCCGTTTTCCTTTAGGTTGCTCAAAACCAGTGTGTAGAATTGTCTGTGATTGTTTCTTGATAATGAAAGAAAATACAAAGTTCAGCAAATAAAATCGCTACAAAAATACCGTCATTCTAACACTAGTGGAAATGTATAGACAACAAATGAAAACGAAAAGGCACGAAAAGTGGCCCGCGTGGGTTCGGTGCGGGGCCTAATATCCGTTGGAATCTCCAGGAAGCAGGCTGAGGCTAATACATATTTTTGATCTTGGTCGTGGTGGTCTACAAGTATGCTGAAATAGAAGGAGTGGCGTAGAAATTTTGGTAAGGAGCTGCACCTCCCCCATCCCCTTCCCCCGAGCACCCGTTCTACGCCATTTTTGGGGTGTGGGGTGGAGATCGAATGTGAAAAGTGATTATACGATGCGACACTATTGACACAATCAGATGTTGGAAAGGATCGTAAGATCTTGAAACTGACACAGCTTGACGGTCTGCCCCGCTAGTGCTCTACCAGGAAGGGAGTCAGGGCCTAATTTGTCAAAGAGAAATGGAGGTTGGAATTTTCGAAATTAAAACCAGATGTCTAACTGATGTGACAGTCTGCAAAGTGTTGGGGCATTTGCGGCAACATATGAATTGTTTCACAGACGTGCTCTAACCATCTGAATAATTAGCAAAATATAACACACGCCCTTCTCTTAGTCTTTTGAACTAGATTTTATACTCTTTGAATTCTTGATTTATAATTATTCATAGGCTAACATGAAGAGCCGTCCTGATTGTGTTGATGGGGAGGAGGATATGGAGATGGACGATATTTCTGAAGATACCGAAAGTGAACCAGGTAAAATGGTTATCTCAGGTCTCTTTCTTACCCTTAGATGATAGCGTAACTTCTATGTGATAAATAATGTATATGTGATCTTGGCAGATTTGGAAGAGCCGTTCTTGGCGGTAGTGGGAGCGTGAGCGCGGGTCACGTGTGATTTCGCGATCCGTAGTGACGAGAACAGCCGCGATACCTGGCGAAACCGCACGGTCGCGTGACTGACACGCAGCTTCGCTGTGCAGGATGCACTTACCAACCTTAGCGGCCTTTACCAAACCCTTGTTTAGCACTGCACTAACTAGACCTAACTAGAGTTACCTTTTCCGCTCACATTTTTTCGCCTGTCCATGGTAGTCTCATGGACAACGCTCGACGGCACCTGTTTGAGATGCTGAGTTCACGTGGCTTATAGAACTAATAGATAAGGCAATCGGCCAACACCTAGGAGCCGGCGACAAGCGCCGCTCGCGTGAGAGCATGCTTCAATGAAGGCGGAGCATCTTCATGCCGCCTATAACACAGCACTGGTCCAGATTCGTCTCTCGAACGCCAGACGACCTCGACCGTAAGATTCAGGTTCTAGAGGTCGAGAGCCACTCTCTCATAGATGCCGTTCGCGACATAGAGCTTCTCCTTCTCCTTCTTCTCCCTAGCGTTGGTCCCGCGCTGTCGCAGGGGTCCGCTGTCTTTGTCAGCCGTCGCCATGTGTTCTATCCAGGGCATCTTGTTCTCCAGCCGGCAGGCCCGGCCCGTCAGCATTCGCCAGTTAAGCGAATGCACTGCATGGTTCATTTCGTCTGGACTCTAGCTCAACGGCCGCCCACCGGAAACGCCTACCCGTACACGTGGCAGTGGCCTGTACACTATCCCGGTAGCAGGGCCGCGTACCGCGGGTCCGGCGCCCGGTACACCTTCCCTTTAAGCGTTCTGGAGCACTTTCGCTCGCAGAGGCTTCCAGTGGACTCCCTCCATCTCATCCATGCCGCCTTGATCCTTGCATTGACTGCCTGGTCCACACGTTGGCGGCCAGATCGCTCCCGAGGTATCGGAACTCCTCTACTCTTCGATGCTTTCCAAGTGCTTGTTCACGATTGACTTGAAATTCGAAAATCCCAGAAATACGCTACTTGTGTCCGTTTATCACAGTGTTCGGTGCCTAGCGAGGAGGTTGCAGAAAACGACCTCACAGGCTGCGCGTGTTAGGCGTGTTTTGTACGAAGTCAATGGTTTGGGGAGTGGAGATGAGCCGGCAGGTTGGGACGGGGGGTCGGCAATGTACAAAACAGTTTGTGTCAGCTAGGACGAAGCTCCGCCGCACAAGTGGGGTTCAGGCCGATCCGCTGTCATAAGACCGGGAGATAATCGTCTAGACGAGTCGTACACTCAATTGGCTAGAGGACGAAATAAGCGACAGTCGTGGTGGTGGCGGCGCTGCCCTAACCCGGGGCGGTGCGCTGACGCAAGACAAGAACTCATATCTCATCATGGACCGTTGTAGAGCCTAAAGAAAATCGTTCAAGAGGTGTCTTTTCTAATCTTGCAGGCAGCGTCTGATATGGGGCTTCGGGAGTCCCCCACAGTGAGCGAACTTGTCCTTGGGTTGGGCAGTAGTCACGAATCCAAATCATTCGTGTTAAGAAAAACCACCAGGAAAAGTTCTTTCTAGGATACGGAGCGCTTTTTTTTTGAAACGGTTTTTTTGCTGTTTCAGAGACACGCGCAGGACATATAATGAGATCAATTTTTTTAAGCGGCTGGGAATGCTTAAAAACGTCTCGAAATCAAGGTTTGTGGTTCGATCCCCACTGAAGATAGGTTAGAGAAGTTTTTCTCTAACTTCCATATTCTTGGACTCATATATGTCTAAACTTGTTGGGGTGACACGAACAAAGCGGCTGCGCGACATTACGAACTACTGGACGCTTCAAAGCAAGCGTGTGAGGTGTGTAATGTAATAAGCGCGAAACTTGAACCTTCTCAGAGGAAAATTTTTTTGCTCGTTTTGGTGGGCGAATCCCGCAAGGAAGCCGCTCAGAGTGAGATACGATGCGGCTTAGACGAGACCCGCTAGCGCCCGCTTATAACATGGCAACAAACCGTTCGGGCAAAAGCGCTCCTACCTGAAAAACTATCCTAGTCAGAAAGCGGAAAAAAGGGATAGGTTAGAGGAGGAGAGGTCAAATGTTAATGGTGGACGCCAAATTGGGTGCAGTTTGCTCCCAATGTAACCAGGGTCAAGCATGCGTTGAGGAATCCTCGATACTCCACAGGGGGGAAGGTGGGCGCAGTCGTATTGGCCCGCTGGGAGGAAGAGATCGCGCCGGATTGATGCAGTAGGATAACCACTGTAGGAGGACGGACAAACGTCAAGGATAGAGTCGATGACAGGCCAGAGGATTACCCATAACAATATTATTCCGCCCACATAAAATCTTTATGATTCAGAGGTGTCCGCGTAGCAATTCCTACCAGGAAGGTCTTTCAGGGCGTGACAAGCTTTTTGAAAACGGTCTTTTGCATGATATAGGGGCAGATGCGGGAACCACAGAACCATGTTCAATTTTTCCTGAACG